ATAGCTAAAACCTAGATAAATGTTTTATGTATAGTGGCAAATTAAATTCATATGAATGTTGATGTATAATGTATAGTGTCACTGGGACCTAAGGCTATAAATACATGTCAAGCCTAGCAGGTGACAAGCTTATTCAAAATCAATCCTATAAATATATTTTCTTATCAAAAGTAGTTATTGCAAAGACGGCTTTTACACATTTTCGAAACTTAATTTTTTTCTTCAAAATAAGCACTTGAAGAAAATATGGTATCAAGTTTCAGTGGCTTTACTTTAATCATAGTTATGCTATAATCAGTCCCAATGTGACAAATTTATTTGATTTCTACCAGACAGCATTTCCAAAAGTGAATCAACTGATCCATTTTGGTTTGTGCAGTGCAACAAGATCAAACCCAGCTGCAAAGTTTTTGACTCCCGAAAATGTGAAATCTGAACTAAAATATGTCACAAGGAAGTTTTTCTGGACGGGCGATGTCATGCAGGTGGACTTGAGCAAAAAGATTGTCTACCTTAATCGGGCGTTCAAGTGGTAAGCACTCCTAACATATGGGTTTTTAGGACATGCTTCTCCTTTAATGTCTAATGCACATAATGTTCAAACAAATGACATATTTTAATATCAGCCATTGTTGTAAAAGCATGTCTCTTCATCCCCATTAACTAAATAGTTCTAGACGGAGAAATGTTTTTGGGAATTGAATGTTAGTACCCACTACTTTTCTTATTGGTCGTTTTGGGGGAAACTAAAATTAATGTATGACATATATATTTATTTGACTTTATACCAAATAAATGGTATGAACTTTCTTTTGCTTAGTGATTTATTGATGGTCCTCTTCTTTGGCTCAGGAATTGTGTTTCAGAGTAAAGAATAATGAAAAAGTGTTATTTAAATGTAATTCTTGTATACTATACTTTTAAATTTTTTGTTGTTTCAAATATGTCAACTTTTGTTCTTTAGTATTTTGTTCTCTTATTGGTCTATGAAATTAGGGCATACTAATAGCACAATGCACTTTTTAGTTTGAAACATGCTGGACTTTTTTTTACTTTGTTGCTGTATTTCATGTCTTTTGAACCCCATTTGCTTGCCTTTTGTTTCAATTATTTCAACATGTGTGTATGATGTAAAAAGTGTAACTTTTTTCCTTTCTTCTAGGGCTACTATGTGAGATCCTTAATTACTAATGGTCTTAATTCTTATTAGTCTCCAGGACACTTATGATATGTGATCATGTGAATATGCAGGATCTCATCCTGAAGGAGTTGGATATGGATTTAAAAACAACACCTCATGATCACAATGAGTCCTGGAGAGTTATAATCTTATAACTCTGGTTTTTTACCCCACGCCATCTCAATCCTTTTGATGAGTCTATGATGTTTTTAGAATCCTTTACTCTAAAACACAATTATCTATAAAAGCTTTTAAATGTGTTCTTCTGATGTTTATTATTATAATGATATTCCTATGGTTATCATGATTAGAATATTATGCAGCCACCTAATTTAGGTTTGTTTATTTGGACACGCTCGATATAGATGTAGCTATGGTTATCATGATTAGAATATTATGCAGCTACCTAATTTGTAATTATCTTGTACAGCGTTGCAATCAATATTTAAAAACTTAAAATTACTTAACCCACCCAATTCATAAACCTTTACTACAAGCTAACTCGATGTCCATAATATTTTGCTAGATAATTTATTACCTTTGATGTGAAACAAAACCTTATGTTGAGTTTGCTGAATGTTTTTCAAGGTTGAAACACTCGGGGCAACCCCCAATATCTCTTTCACATAGATGAAGATTAATAATTCACACTTCACAGGTTATTTGAATCACTTCTGATGCGATTTAATTTAATTTCAATCCCACTTTAACAAATCCCACATCTTAATAATCTATTTGCTTTAATGTCAAAGCTAATGGTATGTCGAGTCTGTTGAGTACGTGTAGGTTATATACGACACTCACTTTCCATAGAGACCCGGGCAGAATAGACTATTAATAAAAATATTAAAGAGTAGTATATATAGGAGTTGGGTGAGGAATAAGAGGTAGGCATAAATTTAGTTGAGATTAGACTTGGGAGAGAAGCTTTCGAAATTGTTTCTATTATCTTTGTATGCTGCTCTTGATTCTGCCATTGTAATAGCTTAAGAAATTCTGAAATCTTGTCTGAATTCCCTACTTAATATACATAAATTGTCTGGTTCCTATCATCTTTCTATTATTACTGAATGATAATTATTTATATTTGGCACAATCACTAGCCAATAGTCATTGACCAGTAACATATCATAATGAAATCTTTTGAAATATAATATGTAATCAAAGTCACACATTTAAAACACTCGTGTCCCTGTAGAGATGATAGAAATCCAAAATTCATCACAGTTCTAGATCATTAGTAAGACAGATCAATCTTAAGTTCTTAACTTTAAAATTGGCTAGAAGAGAAACCATATGATACTCAAGTAAGAATGTTCGGAATCCTTTGTTAATTTTTAGTACAGAGTACACTAATGTAGCAACCAACAAAATCTACTTAGTGCATACTTTTTTCAAAAATATTTCATATAAAATATTCATACAAAATGATGAGGTTTAACCATGACATCAAATTCTTTCTATTGCTGGTCAAAGCAATAATGACATATGAATTCTTTCAATGGCGAGTAAAAATGGTCTATATTAATTTAAGTTACACCTTTTTTATTCTTTTCCAACCCTGTGCGAGTGTGCCACAATTTTGATACTGTCTCCACCCTTTATTCTTTCTTGAGGTCATGGAATTGAAACAAATGTGCATAAAAGGCAATGACATTTGAGAAGTTTGTAATTTTTCTTCACGGTTTCATGACTTATGTGCAGGTATTTTTTATGATTAAATTTAATTCTTTCCCGTGACTTCGATGTAGGTCTTTTTAATGTTTACGTTGGATTCTTTCCAATCACTTGTATGTGGGTCTTTTTATGTTTACATTTATTTCTTACCATTTACTGCAAAGGGTTAGCAGATAAAATATGAGCGCTATTATTCCTTATTATGAGTGGAATATGAGTCATGCGTCGAGTGTATGTGTGTGTGTGCGCGCGCCCGCGAGTGTGCCTTTAAGCTCCACTAATTTATAATGTTTTTTCGGGTTTCTTCCAGTCCCAAACCAAACTTGACTATAATAGACCAGACCAGACTTCTGCATTTATAAAATACACAGATACTAGATATCTAACAGACCAGTTCAGACCAAATTTAAAGAGATCAAGTCAGAAAATTACAATCCAAGTAAAAAAATCCTTATTCCACTTTTGTCAAATGGAGTACATGTGCCACAATATTTTAATGGACATTAGTTGTTTGAATATAAAGGACTTGTTTGGTTATTGGCATTTTAGTCAAAATATCAAAAATTTTACAACTAAAATGCTGCGATAAGCAACGTGTTCAGGTTGAGAACGTTTAATACCAAACTACCCCCAAAGAGTCCTAAAGTTGGAATTTTTTTATGTAATGAATCAAAAAGATGGTTGCCTGACTTAGGCATGGACTAGGCCGGTTGGGCTTGGCCCGCTACTGGGTGGGACCGGACCGGGACTGGGGGCCAGAACCAGGGGTATTAGAGGCGGGATTCGGGCTGCTGAAAAGGTGGACCGGACGGGCTGGTCCAGGATTGGTCCGAGCCGAATTACGTTTTAAGGGCTGCTAGGCGGATGGGGCTGGATGGTTTGGGAGGTTTGGGGGTGGGGGTAGGAATAAATTAGAAAAACAAATTTAAAAAGAAAAACTTTGACCCAACCTGCCCGGTCCCGGTACAAACCCGGGCCGGTACCGGGGCTGCAACCCAAAAACCTAGGCCTGCCCAATTCTGTCCCGGGTCTCGGCCCGGGCCCGGTCCAACCCTAGCCTAACTTGCCTCTGAAAATATTCTATGTAGGTATAATTGTTAGGAGTATTATTTATTGTGTTCAATATATTTGAAATTTATTTATTGAGTCTTTGTATTTAATTTGATTAGCTGAGAGAGAATTAGGCCCAATTGATTAAGTGCTCTAATAGCCCACACGCATGCCTAGTAGCTTCCTAATTATATTAGGAAGTTCGAGTCTCTCACGTATAAATATAGGCTGAGATGGCCGAAATATTTGAGGATTTCACAATTAGAATAGCCATATCATTCTCGAAGCCCTCTCTCTAGAATTCTAAGCCTCTACACAATCTATTTCCACATATTATTCTCTGCAGAGACAGTAGATTAGAAATTCCCTCTCAAGCTTATTCATTCGAGTATCGTGTATTGTTCTTCATGGATTCATCATTATATATACACGGTATATGTTATTGGTGAGATTTCTCTTTTACTGTTTAAATTCTTCATATTATTCATAGATTAATCGACTGTTGAAATCTGGGCATACATCAAACAATAATTATGACGACTATACTAAATGTACAAATATTATTTTCTCTATTGCTTCTCCGTGCAACACACTAGTGGAAATCCTAGTTAAACAATAACAAAAAAGTAAAAAACGCACACCTGGAACCTTTCATTAACACATCATTAGTATAACCATCCCTTAGAAGCCAATCACGCCGCATGCCATTCTTTCCTGATGCTGCTATCCATGTGTCTACTTGAACAACATTACCCCTGAAGTGGGGAATAAAATTAAGCAAAGACCAACATATATAATGTTCATGATTAATTAGTTGTTCTACATTAATCACAATCTTATAGTGTTATAGGCAAGAGAGGTGAGATAAGATTGAAGTAGGGGTTGAGACAGGGGACTCGGCCTCTCAAGAAAAAAATTGTGATATTTAGGTATGTATAAATATTTATATGCAGTAAAAAATATGGTCAAATTTTAACTTTGACACATCCAACATATACAATTTCTAAGACCGATTCGGCCACTGGATTGAAGGATACTCCGTTAGACCGTTACTGTGGTGATGACAAAAAATGAAAACTCAAGAAAAATGACATTGGGTAAAAGGACTATAGTTGGCAAACAAGAAAGATTCTACATTTCTCTCCCACAACATTTTTGCTCTTCGTGTTTCTTTCCAACCCAACACAAGTTTAGAGTAGTAGTAACAATTTAAATCAGGAACTACAATGCTTTTATTTGGACTGTTTTCAATCCTAGACCAGACCAAACTTAAACAGATCAGACCAGACCAGACTTTCATAGTTATAAAATACAGGGTCGGTCCTGAGGCATGGGCAAAGGGGCATGCGCCCAGGGCCCATTGCTCCCCTAGGACCCATAAATTTCCATTTATATATGAGGAATATTTTAGTCAGTCCGAATTGACTAGAACCGCCGTAAGGCCAATCTCGTTTGAGAGCCTTTTAGGTTGACTTTTTTAATGAAATTTTGTGAGCACGTTCTTCATTAAACGTAAAACATTCACATAAAATTTCATCATAAAATTCAATTGGGAGTCAGTTAAATAAATTCTTCAAAAATACTACACAAACATATGCATAAAAATCACAATGTTTTTCAACAATTTATTTAACTTATTTTCAAATAGAATTTTAAGCTGAAATTTTGAGCGAATGTGCTACACTTCATGACGAACATGTTCACAAATTTTCATCAAAAAATGTAACTCGGAAAGCCCTCAATCTGGCTTGGCCGCAAAGCGGTTCTGGTCAGTCCGAACTGACCAGAATTTTATTATATAAAACTTTAAAAATAAAATCAAACTTATAATTTTTTCATTACGTTCATTTTTTTATTAAACATCTACAAACTATAATTCTAAAATTTTGAAACATCTATACCATAATTGTTTGTGAACAAATTTCACACTTTCTTTTGATTCATTAAGTGTACGTTAGTGCATAAATGTCAATATTTTCATCTACCTCTCTCATGTAAACTCATGATTCATTGATAGTATTTGGCTTATTTTTTTGTTCTCTCGTGTAAGTGAAAGATTAAATTAGGGTACCAAGGATTTAGAAACTTGCAATTTGTTTTAGTCTAGTGAAAATGTGAATCAAAATTTGAAAACTTTACTCCATAAGCGATATAGCTTTCGCGTCTTTCCCCAATTCAAAATTATGTATTAACAATTGTTCTACTTTTCCATTGAGCCATTTTGGTACATGGTATTCTCGAATGTCAATTATCAAATACTTAAATATAATCTTTCTAACCGTTCTTTATTAATTTCTTTGATATGTTATACTCGTATTTGAATGAAAAAAATGCTTAAATATACGTAATTATAGTTTTTATAAACAAATATAAAAATTCACACATTGTCCTTAAGGCCTACTCTATATGTATCGCCCCGGGCCCATAAAATGTCAGGACCGGCACTGATAAAATACACACAGAGGACATTCACCAAACCGGACCACACTTAAATAGATCAAACTATACCAGACCTGCAAATTTCAGTCCAAGTAAAAACATCTTAACATAAAAGTAAAAAGTAGACATTCAAATATTCAATATAGTGTTAATGTCTTTCATTCTCTTCATGAAATTCAAAGTATGATATAAAGCTAGAGGTATTTCCAAATGGCCCCCTACTACTCCAAAAAAGTCAATTAGACCCCTCAACTAAAAAACACGGGTGATTTCCCAAAATACGGGAATAGTTAACGGGAGGTGCCAAATTACGGGGTTTCCAAAAATACGGGAGTCGGATTGTCCTCCTCCGACTAGGGGAAGGGTTTGAAAAAATTTAATTGACTTCTGCTGTCGGATTACCCTATTCCGACTGGGGCATTTTACAAATTAAAAAAAAAAAATCTCTTGTTGGAAGAGCCAATTCCGACGAACATTTTAAAAATTAAAAAAAAAAACCTTAGTTAGAATAGCCCATTCAGATACCATATATATATTTTAAAAAAGTTAGACCCATCCCTAGGTCAAGTTTGCTACAGTGCGGAAAGAAATTAACGTGGACCCAAAAATTAAAAAAAAAACAATATTTTAAAAGTTGTTATAACTTTTTATTTATACTTCAAATTTTACAAAAAAAATATTAAAATGCATAAATTTTTACCATCTTTCATATGATACCAATATTGCATATATTTTTTAAAATATAAATTTCAAACATTAAAATTTTAAATCGATATAACTTTTACGGTCTTATATAAAAAAAATTAATAACTCTGTCTTACTTAACTTTGCCAAGTTATTGTTGGGTGTGAAATTAGAATAGTAAAAATTGTGTGATTGACGTTTGTGTAGAGGAAAAAGAAAATGAACATAGCCACAAATTAATTACATTAAAAGGAAAGTGATAATTTTTTTTTGGGACAAACAGAAAAAGAAAGTTGGTCCAATGAGACGGAGGGAGTACATTTTAATGACTTGTAAATTTATGAATAGTTGGGAGTTGGTATATATGGAGTATCATTATTTTCAAAAATGAATGGTTGAGAAGGAGACTTAATTATTACTCCCTCTGTCCCGCTAGAAGGTTACCGTTTACGCTTTACAATGCTTGATTGACGATGAAACAACTTAATCCATGTTCACATATGATTATTTTTAGTAAATAAAATTAACATATTCAAAAACTACAGTAAAACCGCTACAAAGTCTGATAAAAAAATGTAAATTTGACAAAAAAATATATTTATAGAGTAAAATATTAAAAATGATTTAAGTTAAACATGTGAATAGTGGACGAGAATCTTATGATGAGACGAAGGTATGATTGATTTTTATGTTAGGGGTTATAAATCTTATTCCAATTATTATGGACAGAATGTGGAAAAGCAACATTATATTCAAAGCTCCTAATTACCCGTACAAATTTGGCATGCCACATTTCTTTGCTTTTAATCAGTAGGAATTGGCAATTCCGAGTAGAAGCGTTCAATAATTAATATGGCTTGGCCGAAAGTTTATCCAAATGTTTAAAAATTTATCCAACTTTTAAATTTAAAACTTTATCCAAATCTTTTTTAAAGTTTATTTGGAAAAAAAAATTTAACTCATGTCGGATTTAAGAGTTCCGACTGCAGGAGTTTGATCGATTTTATTTTATCTGTTATATTTTATTTCATTATATTTTATTTATTATATTTTATCTAATTAGTTTTATCTGATTATATTTATTTTGATACAATTTTATCTGATTATATTTTATCTCATTAATTTTATCTAATTATGTTATGTAAATCATTGTCAATTTTACAACTCGTGTTCATCATATAGGCTGATTACATTTCAAATGATTGTATTTCTATTGGGTCGAATAGGTATTTATGATCCGGATCTAAAAATGTGAATCACAAGTGTGAATATTAAAATTTCATCTAAATATTAAGTAACTCGTGGTCAATTTCACAATTTATGCTCATAATATATGCTAATTGCATTTCAGAAGATTGTATCCTTACTGGATCGAATTGGGGTTTTTATGATCCGGGTCTAAAAAATGTGAATCACAAGTGTTAATATTAAATTGTCATCTATATATTAAGGAACTCGTGGTCAATTTCACAACTCGTGTTCATGATATAGGTTGATTGCATAAAATTCGAATGATTGTGCCTTTATTGGGTCAAATTGGAGGTTTATGATCCGGGTCTAAAAAATGTGAATCACAAGTATGGATATTAAAATTCCATCTATATGTTAAGTAAATCATTGTCAATTTTACAACTCGTGTTCATGATATAGGCTGATTACATTTCAAATGATTGTATCCCTACTGGGTCGAATAGGAGTTTTTATGATCCGGGTCTAAAAAATGTGAATCACAAATGTGAATATTAAAATTTCATTTATATATTAAGTAACTCGTGGTCAATTTCACAATTCATGTTCATGATATATGCTAATTGCATTTCAGAAGATTGTATCTTTACCAGGTCGAATTTAGGTTTTTATGATCCGGATCTAAAAAATGTGAATCACAAGTGTTAATATTAAATTGTTATCTCTATATTAAGGAACTCGTGGCCAATTTTACAACTCGTGTTCATGATATGGGCTGATTGCATAAAATTTGAATGATTGTGCCCTTATTGGGTCAAATTGGAGGTTTTATAATCCGTCACATACAATATTGAATTTTGGCTCACTTTATTTTTGTACGGATATGGTTGGATAGAATATTGAATTTTGATTGAATTATATATGATAAAATTGTATCTGATTCATTTTATCTGATTGAACTTATCTAATTAAATTTTATCCGATTATCAATTTTATCTAATAAATACTTCTAACGTTATGGTTTACATAAAACAAAATTTATCTCGAATATAAAATTTCTTAAAATAACAATTTAATTTATAAAATTTAATTTATAAAATTTCTTAAAATAAAACAAATATATGTATTTTCAAAAGATAATAGCTTATCTTTTTATCTTTATTCCTTCTTTTCCTTTTGGTTGTGATATCATGTATCGATTCATGTTAGCCGACCCCAATATCTTTTGGGACTAAGGCTTGGATGTTGTTGTTGTTGTATCCCTAGTCGGATGTGGGCTATCCGACAGTTTTTTTTTTTGTTTTTATTTATTTTTTTATTTTTTATTTCTTTTGATTACACATTATTAAACATTAAAAAATTCAAACACCCCTAGTCGGATTACATAGTTCCGACTAGGTTTTATTTATTTTTATTTTTTTTAATTCATTGGGATTAAAAAATAATGGAAACAAAAAAATTCAACCCCCCTAGTCGGATTCCACAATTCCGACTAGGTACTCTACACCCTAATTCGGAAAGCCTCCCTAGTCGGATTTGCCAAATCCGACTCCCGTAATTTGGTAACTAATTGCAAGTCCCGTAATTTGGATTGTCAGACGGGAAAACCCCCGTATTTTGGTAATTTCCTCAAAAAAAAAAACACCCAATCAAACTCATGAACTCAAAAACATCTCAAATTTGCTTTTTATCTCATGTGTCATATGATATGGCTTGTTAAAAAAGTTTATCATTCTTTTTCTTTTTTCCCTTTTTATTTCCCATCCCTTTTTCTTTTCCTTACTTCCTCTCGCGGGTCAGCAGTCGTCTTTCTTCCTCGCAAATCGCAGTTCCACTTCTTTCCTATACAAACTACACTCCGCAGGCATTTCTGATGAGCTCGATCTGTTTCTAATGGATACGGTGAACGGCTCACATTTGGGAACCACGGAGAGGGTGAACGGCGTTGGAGACGAGATCACATTTGACCTTCACTGTCGTCGGAGAGGAGTGGTCCCGCAAGGAGTTGCGCGTTGGATGCATGGTTGGCACAGATTTGGTCCGTCGGTGCCATCTTAATACATGTTGCTCGTTGGTGGTCTTCATCAATGGGGAAAGAGAAAGAGACAAAGAAAGAAAGATGGGGATGAGGTGGTTCAAAGGGGTGTTATGTGTTGGATGGCAGGGGCACGGATTTTGTCACCAATTGGCTGGTGCCATCTTCATAGCTGCTAGTCACTGTGGGCTGTGGTCTTCTTCAATGGCGAAAGACAGAAACAAATAGACAAAGAAAAGAAAGAGAGAAAGAAGGAACGGGTACGAAAGAAAAGTGAGCGGGAAACAAAAAATAAATAAATCTAAAAGCCACCTACACGGCTCAAAATATACCGTACAGCCGGCTGTACCGTGCGCACGGTACAACCGGCATTTTTTCTCTTTGCCCTTCTTCGCTTCGCACCAGAAGAATGATCCGGCTTGCACCAAGCTTCGATCGCACCAGCTTCACCGATATTGCTTGCTTCTTCGATTTGGCTTCACACCTGGTTGACTGTGGCCAACGCTCACCACTCTTCCTCTTCTCCTCCAGCTCTTTGCTCATCGACGCCGCGTACCGCTCATTCCCCTCCTCCTCTGGCATGGACGTAGTAGATCCACGGGCATAGTTACTTCTCCTCACTTTGTCTTTCTTTTCGCTCTTTTTCTTTTTCTCTTTTTCTTACGCAGTTTTGCTGTTTGAGATTGTGATTTTGGAAGACAAAGAGAGCCTACTTGTTGCTGAGGAATCCTTACTGCTATTGATCTAAAATGAGTTTTATATTAAACTCAAATGAGTATACGCATAAAAGAAATGAACATACACAACTGAATATTAAGCACATTAAAAATGAGTTTTATGTTAAACTCAAATGAGTGTAACGACCAAAATCAATTAGCATACACAAATGACCTTTTGAATTTTTTGATACTCATTTTGTGGGTTAAGTATTCTCATTTGGTACTGTTTTATGCTCATTTTAAAATGTTGTGCATTCCAAACGTATCATACTACGTTAGATTCAGATATTGAAATTAATTGGAATTGATTATAGACATAATTTAAGAATTTTTTATAAACTAAAAAATAATAAAAAGAAATTGAATTAAAAGATATGAAGTAGAGAACATGGGTGTTCATTGTTAAACTCCTAATACTCAAAAGAACAGACTCAATGTTCATCAATTGCATAAATGTTCATTTAAGAGAAATCATAATTTTCACCAAAATTACAAAATTGCCACCGGTTGTACGGTGTTAGCCGTGCAGCCGGCTGTATGATATGTGCTTCCCATACTTAGATTCACCGGGGAACTGGAAGGTTATAGGCTAAAAAGCCAATTTGAGATTTTTTTTTTGAGTTCATGGGTTTGATCGAGTGTTTTTTGAGTTAAGGGATTTCATTAACTTTTTTGCAGTAGAAGGGCTTATTAAATACTTTTCTCTTTCCAAATCAAAGTATAAGTAAAAAGTGGATCTGAAATAAACCATTTTTTCTTTCCCCCACCTTAATATTTTATTGAATCCTTGTCCAATCACTACTCAACCTAGCTAGTGCAATGTATATAAAAAAAATGCTTGGTGTATACATTTTTGTGTACAGAGTTGTCTGTGGACAGACAATTCTGTCTGCGTGAGAAAGACGAATGTACAAAAAGGGTACACAAAAATGTGTACATCTAGCACAACTCATATATCAATTGAACATATATACCATAAAACGTACCAAGTAGGATAGTGATTCACGACAACTTGCATTTTAGTGACGACCCAAATTAAATTCCTCTTGTACATTTCTGGAGTTGAAGCAAACCCATCAGCCATTAGTCCCAGTGCCCTCGCATGATTCAGGGCAGTCTCCTGCATATTTTATATACACATACACCTCTTTAATTAAAAAGTGAAAAACTTGAAAGTAATTTGAACCTGTAGCTACATTTAACTAAACAAAAAATAATTTTTTTCATTATTTCTATAAATATTACTTGATTTACTTCCTACTATGCATGAGTTTAATGCATGTGTTCAAGTTTCTTATCATATACGGAGTATAAATTTTGCGCAATTGTGCAATAACTTTTTATGATTTATAAAGTGCGTCAAAACTCATCTTTTATAAGTTATGATGCACATAACTTCTCAAAGAACAGATTTAATTGTCAAATAAAAAAATGACTAATATTTATGTCTAATTGTCTAATAAAAAATGACTAATATTTATGACAAATTTACTAGGTATAGTGTTTTAATCATAACATTAATATAGGGTTGAATGCAGTTTTTAAATCGCATGGACTCATACGCAAAATCTGTATATCATTTGATGCATTAACTTAAATATTACGGAATACTATTTATCATTTATGTTTTTTTTTTTGAAAACTTTATTTATCATTTATGTTATATTTCAAAATTTACGCAAAAGAGGTGAGCACTATTGTCCTTTTGACTATATTGATCTATGAGAGATAATTCGTGCGTATAAACTATATACTTGTATAAAGTATCCAATGCCATTGAACTGATGAAAAGGGTTGAAGTATATATCTATTGCTTGATAGAGTGATTGTGAAATGAATGAGAGAAATTGAGAGAAATGTTTTTGGACAAAAGGATTAATGAGAATACTCTTAATATCTAGGTGCCGGTACAAATATGTTCTTAATGTTTTGATAGTTTCAAAAATATTCATAATGTTTCTACGAAGAGGAAAATTAGACTTATTGAATATAAATAAACAAATATATTCTTTTAAAATAAATTAATGAATATATTGAGTATGGAAATTAAAAATTAAAAAATTTCATTTTGTGTGCAATGCTTCCTTTTTGTAATTTTGTACGAAGTATAAAAATTAATACTCCGTATTATTCATATATATAAATGAATTGTTTATAACTTTAATGTATATTTTTGGTTGCTGTCGCAAAACATTGAAATATGTGTTGCAATATTTGAAAAAATTAATTTTTGGTATTGTTTACATGATAAAATTTGCTTAACATTTTTGTACTATGTTGAATCGTCCAAGATTTGTTTTATAGGAGACTCTTTTATAAAAAGTGCAAATAAGCCCTTTTATAGGAGGTTCTGCCCGGCCGTCATCATTTGGGACGATTTCAGGTGGATTTTTTTGATGATTTTTTTTGAAAATCTTCTTCATTGAGTCTAGTTTACTCATATCAAATTTCAGCTAATAATTCATGCCAAAAGGCAGTCAAATGAATTTTTGAAGATAACTGCGCAGTTAATCAGCGCAGTATATTTAAGACAATCATTTGACTGCCTTATCGATTGAATTTTTAGCTGACATTTGAAGATGCTCAAAAAAAATCATCAAAAAATTCCACCGGAAACCTCCCCAAATGGCGACAGTCGGACAAAGCCTCATGTAAAAGGGTTTATTTGCACTTTTTATGAAAGTTCGAGGGCTTATTTGATAGTTCTCCCATTTTATTAAGTTTAAACAATATAAAAAACTCTAAAGTCGATAATGGTTTACTTGTTCCTTGATAGAAACATTGATAGTAGAAGTGGACTTACGTATGCTAATTATTTACAAAATTAGCATCTTAGGTTTCAATTACCATCCCCTCCCTTTCACCACCAATAACTTACCTTCAAAGCTTTTCTCTCCCTTTTCCTCCAATCTCCCAGACATATCCTTAGGTGAAATTCGGAAGTGAGCCTTATTTTTGTGAGTTGGTATTGGTCCACCTCACTGGCCCATGGTCCATCCCATTTAATGACCTGTCTGCTAATCTTATCCTCCTGGCCCGTTTGGGCTGTCCGCCTGACTTAGCCCACTTGCCCTCCTTTTGTCTTTGCCCAAGCCCATGTCTCTTTGGCCCTTACCTTATATTGTCCGTTCCTTCTGGAATCCACTATTTGATCGTCCCCTTCCTCTCTCTATCCGATGAGAGGTCTTTCCGGTTACCCCAGTTCTAGAGTGAGAGAGTGCTGGTATCATCTAGGGTTTGAGCTCCGGCTACCCTCCGGTGATACCTTTGGGGTCCTTCTGTGGGCTTCACTCTGTACTGGTAGTCTTGTGGGGGGTTTCTTCTCCGGTGGGTTTTCTCTGGGCAGTCTGGTTTGGGAGGGTTGGGCACTAAACTGAGCGTTTGAGACTTGATGTCCTCTGGTTTCCCTTGTTGACTCCTTGGTGGTGAATGGTGAGCTAGCCCTTGGGCTATGGTGATTGAGGTCTGAGCCGGTCCAGTAACTCTACAGTGGTATCAGAGCTGGAAGCTGCCTCCTCTCACTGACGCCGGAGACTCGCCGGAAGAACTTCCATAAAACTGGTAATGCCTAGGCTCCTCCTCGGATTGGTAAGTCGGGAAGTCTAATCTAGACTCCTGCTCAGGTATATTAGCTTAAACCCTATCTTGGGCTGCCGGAGTGCCACCGGCTTCTGTGTTGCATGGGTAGTTCTGAAACCCTAGGTTGAGGAGCTGCCGGTTAGAAACCCCAGTTCTTTTATCCTTTGCATGTGTAGATTCTGTCTAAGACAGGTCTGCAGAAACCCTAGGTTGTTGAACTAGTGCATGGGTGGTGCTAATCTGTGTCGAACTTAGCCCACAGTTGTCTGTAATATTATCTGAGCACCTTTTGTGTTTTCTACTTGTTTGCCAGTCCTCTGTTGTTGTTATTGTTATCTGCTTCCAGTATTGTTTTTTGTGTTGATAATTTTTGATCCATTGTAATACTGTGGCTGTGAAACCCTAGTTGGCTAAGGCACCTGAGGTTAGGGCTAGGGGATTCCCTGCCAGCCACCTCTGTGGCCCCGGATCTGCGTGGTCCCTTAGTCCGCAGTCTAACCTTCTAGGGCTAGGCTCCTGCATTACAGTTGGCTTATTAATTGTGTGTGCTTGACTGTTATCATGGCTTCAAACCAGTATGGTATGATGCCTTTTAATGGTAAGACTGACTTTGATATTTGGAAACAAAAACTAAAATGTGTGTTAATACAACAGAAAGTTCATAGAGCTATTACTGGGCAATACTTAGAAACTGAGGAAAAACCTAAACAAGTTGAAATGAATGAAATAGCCTGCTCAACCATATATTTAAACTTGTCTGACTCTGTCCTTAGAAAGGTTGGAGTCATTGAGTCTACTAAAGACCTCTGGGATAAACTTGAGTCTCTATATACTGATACTTCCCTTCCTGGCAAACTGTTTTTGTTGGAAAAGTTTTTTAGGTTTAGGCTTGACCTAACAAAAGATATTGATGAAAACCTAGATATTTTTAACAAGCTAATCCAAAACATTAAGCAGGCTGGGGATAAACATATAGATGACTACACTGCCATAGTCTTATTAAATGCTATACCTGATTCCTATAATGATGTTAAGTCTGCCATAAAATATGGGAGGGATGACATAACCCTTGATATTGTTATTAATGGCCTGAGAAGTAAAGAACTTGACTTAAAACATTCTAGGAACCATCATAGGGAATCTGGGGAAGCTTTGGTTGTTAGGGGAAGATCTAAAAGTAGGTCTAAACACCCTAAAAAGGACAATCGGGATAAGAATGGCAGACAACCTAGCAAGAAAAGGCATAAGTCTAAGAAAAGGATGTGCTATAACTGTGGGAACCCAGATCATTTAGACAAAGATTGTATCCAACCCAAAAGAAATGAACAGGCCAACTCTGTGACTGATAAGGAAATTAGTGAAGAAGTGTTCATGATCTGTGATCATGCTAATTCTGCCCTAAGCAACTTAACTGAATTTGAATGGTTAATAGATTCAGGTTGTACCTACCACATGACTCCTTTTAAAAATCTGTTTGCTTCTTATAGTGCTTGTGATTCTGGTTATGTGTCCTTAGCTGACAATAAGAAGTGTAAGGTCCATGGTGTGGGTGACATAAGTCTTAAGTTTGAAAATGGAACTGTTTTCAAATTAAAAAATGTTAGACATGTCCCTGATCTTAGGCACAACCTGCTTTCTGTTTCTGTTTTTGAAGAATGTGGTCTTGAGGGTAAATGGGGAAATGGGTGTATGAAGATTTTGAAAAACTCCCTTGTTTTGTTTAAAGCCTTGAAACAAAATAACCTTTATGTTGTGCATGCCAAACCTTTTTCTGAAAATGCTAATGCTGTACTTAGTGACAAGTCTGTGCTTTGACACCAAAGACTGGGTCACATGAGTAATAAAGGATTGAATATTTTGAAACAAACTGGATGTTTTGGCAATGACTTGGTGTCACCCATACCTTTCTGTGAGGGTTGTGTCCTAGGTAAACAACATAGGGTTCAGTTTCCAGTTTCTAGCTATTCTAGTGAGCCTAAGTCTAAAGCTGTCCTTGACTACATACATGCAGATGTATGGGGTCCTTCCAGTGTCCCTACCCATGGGGGTAGGAGGTATTTTCTGTCCATAATTGATGACTTTTCTAGGAAAGTCTGGGTCTGCTTGTTAGAACATAAATCTGATGTGTATGTTAGGTTTAAAGAATGGAAAATTATGGTAGAAAATCAAACTGGATGTAAGGTTAAAACCCTTAGAACTGACAATGGCTTAGAATTCTGCAATAAGGATATGGATATGTTGTGTGTTGAGAGTGGGATTAGAGACACAAAATTGTGCCCTATACTCCCCAACAGAATGGCTTAGCTGAGAGAATGAATAGGACCATCCTAGACAAAGTTAGGAGCATGCTTGCCACTTCTGGCCTCCCCAAGAAGTTTTGGGGAGAAGCTGTCAATACTGCCACCTACCTGATAAACAGATCCCCCTCTGTACCTTTAGAAGGTAAGTGTCCTGAGTCTGTCTTCTCTAAGAAACCCCTGGACTTGTCAAACTTAAAAGTGTTTGGGTGTGCTGCCTATGTACATCAACAGTCTGATAAGTTGGACCCTAGGTCTAAGAAATGCATTTTCTTAGGATATCCTGAAGGTGTTAAAGGATATAGGATCTGGGATAGGAACCAGAGTGGTTTTAAGGTCATCATAAGCAGAAATGTTGTATTCAATGAAAGTGACTTTCCCTGCTTAGTTCAACATGTGACTGACCCTCAAACTGTGCATGATGGCACCTCTCCTAGTGAGGTGGAGCCCATCCTGACCACTACTGCCCCTCTGGTGAATGAGTCTAGTACTCCTGATTTGACCAACACTATGCATGACACCCACTCCACCTCTAGTGAGGTGGAGCAGCCCAGTGGTAATGATGAAAATCTGCATGATGTGATTGTTCAATCTGATTTTGTTGATAATGAAGAACTTGGAGAGATCCAAGTTGAGAATGAGAGTCTAGATGATTATGTGTTAGCCAGAGATAGGACTAGAAGAAACATTAAGAGGATTTCTGATAGTATGACTGACTATGCTTTTCACATGTATGATACTTCATTATTTGCTTTCTCTGTTTTTGAAACTCTTGAGTTGAATGAGCCTAAAACCTACCAGGAAGCCCTTGCCTCTAGAGAATCTAAAAATTGGCTATGTGCTATGCAAAGTGAGATAGAATCTCTTAAGTTGAATAAAACCTGGACCCTAGTTCCTAGGACTCCTAATTGTTCTGTTGTTGAGTGCAAATGGCTTTTCAAAGTTAAAGAAGAACCAAATGACATTAGGTTTAAAGCTAGGTTAGTGGCAAAAGGTTTCACTCAAAAGGAAGGGGTAGACTATGCTGAAATTTTTGCTCGAGTAGTAAAATTCACAACAATTAGGATGATGCTTGCCCTAGTTGCCCATAATGACTGGGAGATGAAGCAGATGGATGTTACCACTGCTTTCCTTCATGGTGAACTAGATAAACAGATTTTCATGAGCCAACCTGAGGGTTTTATTGACCCTAAGTACCCTAGACATGTCTGTCTACTTAGGAAGGCCCTCTATGGCCTGAAACAGTCTCCCAGACAATGGAATATCAAGTTTGACCAGTGTATGTCTTCCCTGAGTTTCAAAAGGTCTGATTCTGACCCTTGTTTGTATTTTAAGAATACTGCTGTTGTACCTGTTTTCTTGTTAATCTATGTTGATGACATGCTTATCATTAGCCCCTCTGTGAATGCTATTAAGATAGTTCAAAAGTGCCTTTGTGAAAACTTTGCTATGAAAGATCTTGGAGATGCTAAGAGAATCCTAGGGATTAATATTCTTAGGGATAGGAGTAGGTGTACCCTTACCCTGAACCAAACCTCCTATCTTGAAAAGGTCTTGAAAAAGTTCAAAATTGACTCTGCCCTACCTGTGAATGTTCCCTTAGCACCCCATTTTGTGCTAAGCAAGGATCAGTCCCCAAGGACTGCTCCTGAGATAGATAGGATGAAGGCTGTACCCTATTCCAGTGCTATAGGGTCAGTCATGTATCTCATGGTAAGCACAAGGCCTGATATAGCCTATGCTGTTAGTTGCTTAAGTAGATATATGGCAAACCCTGGTATGTCTCACTGGACTGCCCTTAAATGGCTCCTTAGATACCTTAGGGGTACACCTTCTCATGGTCTTGTTTTTTCTAAAACTGAAACTGCCATTTTACTTACTGGCTATGTTGACTCCAATTATGCAAATGATAGGGACAATAGAAAGTCTACTACTTCCTACATTTTTACTCTTTGTGGTTCCTGCATAAGTTGGAAATCTCAACTTCAACCTATTGTTGCACTGTCCACTACTGAATCTGAATACGTGGCAGCCACTGAGGCCTTTAAAGAGGCTATTTGGCTTAAACGAATGCTAACTGAGATTGGTTTTCTTAAGCAGGTTGTTACAGTGTACTCTGATAGTCAGTCTGCTATCCAATTATGCAAGAATCCTGTATTCCATGACAGGACCAAGCATATTGATGTCAGGTTCCATTTTATTAGGAATATTGTGGATGCAGGTTGGATAAAACTGTCCAAGATACCTTCAGAATTTAACCCTGCAGATATGGGGACTAAATGTCTCAATTTTGAAAAACTTTTGTCTTGTAAACGAACTCTTAATTTAGACTGTGGCTAGATAAGAACAGGTACAAAACCGGCGATGATGATACTCCCATTCACGTTGTGCTCTACACCACCAGGGGGACCAATAAGGTGGATATTGTGAGTTGGTATTGGTCCACCTCACTGGCCCATGGTCCATCCCATTTAATGACCTGTCTGCTAATCTTATCCTCCTGGCCCGTTTGGGCTGTCCGCCTGACTTAGCCCACTTGCCCTCCTTTTGTCTTTGCCCAAGCCCATGTCTCTGTGGCCCTTACCTTATATTGTTCGTTCCTTCTGGAATCCACTATTTGATCGTCCCCTTCCTCTCTCTATCCGATGAGAGGTCTTTCCGGTTACCCCAGTTCTAGAGTGAGAGAGTGCTGGTATCATCTAGGGTTTGAGCTCCGGCTACCCTCCGGTGATACCTTTGGGGTCCTTCTGTGGGCTTCACTCTGTACTGGTAGTCTTGTGGGGGGTTTCTTCTCCGGTGGGTTTTCTCTGGGCAGTCTGGTTTGGGAGGGTTGGGCACTAAACTGAGCGTTTGAGACTAGATGCCCTCTGATTTCCCTTGTTGACTCCTTGGTGGTGAATGGTGAGCTAGCCCTTGGGCTATGGTGATTGAGGTCTGAGCCGGTCCAGTAACTCTACAATTTTCATAAAAACTAATATATTCACCCTCATCATCTCAAAAATTGTGAATAAATGGTATGCAACTTCAAACAATTTTATAGCATAATGGGGTAAACACTTTAAGTTTTTTGGAAATGAAATGTAAAGTGTAATATTACTTCATACGTATGGTGTAAAGTGAAATGCACCCTTAATTATAATATAGAGGATTCAACCATTTTTTTAGAGCATTAAACCCAATTAAGACAGTAACATCAACAACAACATCCAAGGCCAATTAACTAATGATTTTGGGTCGGGGTCGGTTGACATGAATTGATACATTTGATTCATGTTAAGTGATGTGATTAAGTAAAACTGTTGTCCGTCACGTGATTAACACGGTACACTCAATTCGTTAAACCCAATTAAAAACGAGCACAAAAAATAAATTTTGCATTAAAGATACAGATGAACTAACATACCATAGACATACATACATATGTATGTATGTCATGTGTGTGTGTGAGAATATAATACATATTATTCTACATATATACCTGCAAATGATTCATCATTGTTTCAATAGAAGCGGTTCCATTGGCTCCGATTTCGTAGGACCTGATACAGAAATTTTGACGAAAAACAGAACCATCTTGCACCAGATTCCCAAATCCGAATGAATCAGCTGAGTTGTTTGACTTCTTCTTCCAATAGTCAGATGATTGTGGCGAGCTGCTGGCCTTTACTTGCACGTTGCTGCTTCGAGAGTAGTACGTCGTTGTAGTAATGGATTTTGACTTGAGGAGTACTGGTGATGAACCTATACTTCCGGCTGGAGCAAGCAGCTTTCCAAACGTTGTTGTATCAAGTTTGGGGGCTCGGATTAATGCCAATGTAGTAGCAGCCATTATATACTCTCTTTTGTGCTATATTGAAGTTCAATTTCAAAATATAAATATTTTTACATATTGATATAAATAAGATTAAAAATAATAATGGAATTGGAAAGTCATGAATGACACTACCAATTTAGCAGGGGTTTTTGAAAATATTACTATATTGAAATTCATTTTTTAAAAAGTAACCACATTTATACATATACAAAAATGTGACAAACAAAGTAATATATTTGAAAAACAATGATGTTGTTACCAGTTTTTATGTTAGTGCCATTGATTGTCAATGCCCTATTGCCGCCATCATATCATTGTTACTATCAGAAAATTTTTCCAATGACTTTTTTGGATGAATTTAAAAAGAAGAACTAAAAATAGAAGAAACATCTGTTGAATTTTCCTGGGATAGTGATTGCTAGACGCAGGAGTGGGCAGGTGTAAATAAGGAGGACTGGGGAGCAATTGTGAAGAAAAAGAAGTAGAAGAAATGTATATTAATTAAAGAGAAAATTAACTCGGGTTAATAGGTCCGAAAGCAGATCGACCCATTACCTCTTAGCAAGAAAGCCATCAATGCCCATTTAGGGCACGGTCCGGTAAAGGTATCAGTTAGACGCACGTCCGGACATCTAGACGCTCGGCCTCGGTGGCCTTGGCCCAACAAGGGCCAGATGACATTCCATGGCCTCCGGCAGGATGATCCACAAGAGCCGAGCCCCTCCCTTGTGCTCAGCCAGAACCGGGATCCAAGATCTGGGGGACGCTTGTCCAGATTCTTTGGTTGGGAAGCTAGCCACTCACAATCCTCCACATCATTAGTACTACCTACCCCTTGGTAGTATAAATAATACTAATAGCATTTATTTCATTGTAAAGGTTTGATAACTTGTATTCTATAGCAATAGCAATTATCTCCTCTCCTCTACCTTAGCTGAGATAGACGAACGGATGTTGGCTTATAGTGAAGTGTGTTGTATATGGACCTTTATTATTATTGAATAAGATACAGCCCACTTACTACTCTTATTACTTACTCATCCTTCACTTACTTGCCTCACATAATCCATTAAAACTCTCCACTCGAAATCCAAAGGAAGGTGTTGGGTCTTTGGATTTGAAGGAATAAACCTCAACATCGGGACATCTGTGGGAAACAGTTCTAAAAGATTCACGTGTTCTTGGTACTCTACTGGAAAGGTGATATGAAGGACTGATTTTCAACAAAGTTAAAATGATATAGAAAGCAACTAATTTTAGCGTACAGAAGAACAATGAGATGGAAGAAACTGGGAATCTACAACTTACATTTCCCCAGTGAACCAAGCACCCGCATACCGCAGCCAGGGGCGAATCGTAGTAGAGATCCATGGGCTACCAACCTACCACTCCCCAACAAAATTTTTTTAGTGTATATATATATATGAAAAATAATTTTCGCCCTCCAAAAATATTGTGAACCCCCAAAAATATTTTTGCCCCCCAAGATGATTTTTCTGAGCAGGGGTGGATCTGGGCCAGGGCCAGGGAGGGCCCAGGCCCATGCTCAAAATATATAATTACTACGTAGTACTATTTATTATGTATGTGTTAATATATAGTGTTTCATTAGTTATGGTATGATAGCAGCTAATGCCGATTTGTGGACAATATTCACGTTCGCCTGATGGAAGTATATTGAGCATCTAACAAAAGGAGTTGGGTTTGGTTCTCCTCGACACCACATTTTATATCACTCAATGCAACACTAGTAATTTTTTTAAAACACTATCCAAATTTTGTAAGAGTAGTGTTTAATGTTTTATATTTTTCAGTCCAAAATTTCTTTGCCCTTTTGAAGAAGCGGAGGATTATTCCTTCAACTTGATCTCCATCAGTTTCATATCATTGGACCTTTTGAAAAATTAATAGTTCAAATCATTGGAATTTTCAATATTAACACGAAAAATGAATTAGGTCAATTTATTGGGCTTTTAGTTATTGACCTGAAAAATTGATTAATTCAATTCATTGGGCTTTTGAATATTGACTTAAAAATTTAAGTAGTTCGATTCATTAAATTTTGAATATTAATTAGTCTGAAAAATTAATTAGTTCAATTCATTGATCTTTTGAATATTGATCTAAAAAATTAATAAGTTCAATTCATTGTGCTTTATGGGTGAAATTTAATTAAGTTTCTCTTTAACCTTTTTTTACATAGAGCATAGACTATGAAGTCAAAAGGAAATTGATTTTCGAGAAATCAACTAGAAAATTGGTACTGAACATTCCAGTAACATAGCCAATTTCGGTTCGGTATCTATGACTCTTTTAGGATGATTATTTTGTCGGTTCTATAATGCTACATATTTTTTTGTTTGACTTTACTGTAATATTATTTAACTACATTTTGTCATTTTGACATTTTTTGCAGTCTACGTTATGTAACTAAATTTTGGTCTCACCTCAATGTAAATGCTATATCCGCCTCTTGTTCCTGAGTCCGCCCCTGGCCGCAACAATAACTCCCACGTGAGAAAGGACGTCGCTAATTTGACTAAATTTAGTAAACATGTGATTAAAGGAAAAAGAGTTTTCTCCGAAGAGGATGGACCAAGCGGTAGTTCCCCCCATACTCCCATAGTCGCCTCACCCTCCTAGAATCATGCATAATCAATCATACACCCTTGATGTTTGCTTCCAAAAGTTTATATTGGTAGTAATATTTTTATCATTTTTCATTATAGTTATTGTCAATGCAACACTTAATTAATAGATATACAACTTACAAGTAGGGGTGGGCGTGGTTGGTTAACCGTGTTTTGGTTAACCAACTTTCCGGTTAATCGAGAAACCTATTACTTCGGTTAACCGAGTATCGGTTAATCAAAGCTTCGGTTAACCGAGTATCGGTTAACCAAAACTTCGGTTAACCACAAACCGGTTAACCAAAAACCATCAAACCATTGATTAAATATATACACACACCATGTTCTTTCTATATTAATTAAGTCCAAACAAGAGAAAAATAAATTTTGAGAGTGGAATACAGGAAAAGATAAAATACACTTGATAAGAATAAACGTGTTCAATTGCTTCAAAAAAAGAATACACATGTTCAAGTCTCACGATTGCAGAATGGGCTAATTAATTATAACTCACAAAAGCTTTGACTAATTATTAATAATATGAAATTAAAAATTCTATAGTGACAAACAGAATTTGGTTTCTTCACATGTTTATTAGAATTGATGTATCTAGATGTGTTGGATACATATTTATCTTTCCAAGTTCTCTGAGAACGTGAAGTTAATGACCAGACATGAACATACCGGTTATTGGTTAACCGATAATAACATATTTCTAAAACCGTAACCGTACCGCGAACCGTTTATTCTCACGGTTGGTTAACCGTACCGTGGATTTAAAAAATTGCGGTTCGGTTAACCGGGAAAAACGGCGATTTTCCGGTTTTTAGGCGCGGTTATACGGTTACGGTTTTTTATGCCCACCCCTACTTACAAGTATGTAGTTCATCGGAGTCTCATTCATATCAGGGAGCTCCAGATCGGAACCGACGTGCGGAATTCTCCATTTCCTATGCTTTCCGGTAGATTTTTTTGATGGAAGTTTGTGATCATATTCTCTATGAAACAGCAACGTACGTCCACAAAATTTCAGTTTAATTTTTAATCAGAAATTCACTTAAATAAGTTTACTATTACATTTATAGGTCTAATGTAACATTAATTATGTAACAATTACTTCAAAATGTTACATATTTGATCTATTGTAACACATTCTAAAAATAATAATCAAATGTTACATTTGTTCACCCCAAATGCAACACTTTTTGTAATTATGTAATTTTTTTTTATAATTGTAACACAATAGGGGTAATCAGTGATGGGAAAAAGGTGTTACATTTTCTCAAATATAATGCTTTTTGTTGAAAAGAACTATGCCTTATTTATTGAATCTACTTTTCATGGAAAACATGTTCACGAAATATCTTCAAAACACCGAAAAGCACCTAATTCCAGAATTCCGCACTCGTTCCGGTAGGAGCTCCTGATATGAAATGTCCTCGTTCATCAGATACTCTATATAGATCAGATCGAGTACTTGATTAATAGAAAAACAACAACAAAAACATACCTTTTCTGACAAAAAAAAACTTACCCAGATCAATAACGAACGATACAAGAAACTAGTTTAGTATTGCATGAAAATTGAGAGACTGTCGGGAATTTATTTTCAATCTCTTTTTTTGGATGGGGGAAACTTAACAATAGGAACCAGAAAAAATGAGGAAGATGATCGAGCAAGCTGTTGGGTTTGCGTGGTACACTTATTAAGTGAAGATAATGGTGGTGGTATTTATTCACGCCCCGCGCGTGCTTCCACCCAATAATCAATGTTTTGGTCCACTTAACAAAGTACTTCCAGTACATTTTGAAAAATAATTTTAATATGTATTTTAAATGTATTTATTATTGATAATTACGATATTATAAATGTAGTTAGTAAATGTAGTTACTTATTGGTAACTACGATATTATAAATGTATTATTTTTAGTATTTAATGATTAATTTGTCACTTAAGATTACTAATTGTTTCATAAAATGGAAATGTGAACCTTTGTATGTGACGTTCAAAAAGAAAAGTGAGAACCTTCTAATGGGACAGATAGATGGAGTATATAAACTTAAAGTAGTTTAACACATTTGAGATGCCTTGTTTGAATTGTAAATTGAAGCTTGATCATCCTACTAATACAATTACAATATATCACATATTTTGTAATATAAAAATTAATAAAAAATAAGTGAATTTTTAAATTGAATGGGAAGCTTATATAAAAATAGAAGGGAAAACTATCAAATAAGCCCTCGTATTATACCGAAAAAGTCGATTAGGCCATCGTACTTTACAAACACTCAATTAAGTTCTCGAACTATTAAAAAATGTTCAATTAAGCCCTTTCGGTCGGTAAGTAACCGATTTCCCGGTTAAATGTAACCTGTTTCCCGGAAGCCGTCGTTGTTGGGACTCGAGCACATCGTCGTCATCGTCGTCGTTCAAACTTCAATTTTATTTTACTAATTTCAAATCATTATCATTTATATATTGCTTTATAAGCATCATCTTTGAATTTGTACAAATGATTTTTCAATTGATTTTTAACACAAAATTTTACGTATATTTATCCAAAGTCAAATTTTGGTGGGTCGATGCCTAGTATGACTTCCCACGTATGCCATTTTTAAAAACGCACCATTTGTAATAAAAAAAGTTGTATTTGTATATTTATAAATGAAATTAATACAAATGATGGTGTTCATTCCGTGAAGAGATGGTTGGAAACATTAGTGTTACTAAAAAACGAACAAAACTTAGATGTCGTTTGTTTTCGGCTTATCAAACTAATCAGTCAATTTTTTCATCAAACATGTAATTTTTGTTTTCGCGCGTTGAATTATGTAATAAGCAGAAAAAGTAAGTTTGGTGGTTACTTTTCTGACTGTATTAGCTGAAGTTATTATAGATAATCATTTTAGCTAGTTTTACATATAATTTTCTTAATTTTATTAATAAAACATATTTTAAAATTATTTTTTTCTTAAATCAGCAGAATCAGACAATGCAGTCACTTCAGTCAGAACTTCATAAATTTCAGCGAAATCAGCGAAATCAGCCAATTTTCTTGCTACCAAACGAGCTCTTAAAACTAATAGTGTTAAAAGTGTTGGTTAATTTAATTCAAACCTTACTACCAAACGACACTTCGTTCCGTGTGGGTATACATTTCTATATTTCTTTTTGATCTCACAAGCCTTACTAAAATTGATCAAAGCAAACCTAGCTACTGTTAGGCTTCCCACAACGTAATAGTGAAAAAGCCAAATTTAATGTATTTTAGGTGGATGGCACCTCTAGGGGGGAAATTGGTAGGCAAATTGACGGAGCATTCATCTCAAGTGGAGCCCTTGGATCAGCCACACCTCTGCAATGGCCAGAGGACTTCCGTGGTAGGCCAAGATCAACATACTATTAAAAGTAAAAAAATAATAATTATATATTAGTGTAGTAATAAACGTAATGTTATTTAGTACTCCGTAGTACATATTTTGATTGGCAATTGCAATTTATTTGAAATTAAGCTTAAGTGTGCATATTTTAATACCTATGAAAAAATTATTTTTACATCAATTATTGATAGTAAAAAAATCACATAATTAATGTTAAATAAAAAAAGTAAGGAGTTATACATTTGATGGATAGTGTACCGGGGTAGCTTATCCGAGGGGTTATTGCGGAGAATAACTAGAGAGAAGTCAGAGCAAATAAGTAAGAGAGAGAGTGTATATTCGATATGTATTAAGCGTGGTTTACAATGAGGGAAAGGGGTGCTATTTATAGTAGTAATAAATGCTAGATAAGGACACGTGTCAGTTTTCTGGTGGTCGAGGGGTCACCTCGACCGGGGTGGCACTGACACTCGCATGTGGCCGCATTAAATGCGGTGGTTGGATGTGACGTTTGTACTTGGTACGGTGATCCAGGCGCATGTGAAGAGGATATTCTGTCGAGGTGGATGCCTTCGGCTGAAGGGTGCTGGGCCGAAGGCTCTTCTAACTGAGGGCTCCTACCTGCCGAGGGCTGCAGGTGCCGAAGGCTTGGTTTTCAAGTCTTGTTCTCCTGTGATGCCTCTTCTAACCGAGGGCTCCCACCTGCCGAGGGCTGCAGGTGCCGAAAGCTTGATTTTCAAGCCTTGTTCTCTTGTGATGCCTCTTCTGACCGAGGGCTCCTACCTGCCGAGGGCTGCAGGTGCCGAAGGCTTGGTTTTCAAGCCTTGTTCTCCTGTGATGCCTCTTCTAACCGAGGGCTCCTACCTGCCGAGGGCTGCAGTTGCCGAAGGCTTGGTTTTCAAGCCTTGTTCTCCTGTGATGCCTCTTCTAACTGAGGGCTCCTACCTGCCGAGGGCTGCAGTTGCCGAAGGCTTGGTTTTCAAGCCTTGTTCTCCTGTGATGTTTCTGAGCTCGATTCCGTCACTGGTAGCCTTCGGCCATGGGGCCGAAGGCCCCCCCTTTGCGTATTGTGGGCTGCTTAGAGCTCCATTTTTCTGGGCTTGGCCCGTTTGGGCCTGTTGGGCCTGATTGTAGTAGAGGAAGTATGTGGGTCGGGGGTCCCTGAGTCATATACTCCATCAGGAGTCCCCCACTCCTTTTGCCGAAAGGTACTTGAGGGAAAAGGAGTAGTTGTGGTGATTTCCTCGAAGGCTTCCCTGTTCTGTTGGGTGCCTCATTTTCTCAATTCCCCCATATGTCGAGGGCTGAGAGCTTCCTGAAGGGAGTGTAAGTGTGTTGCTCGTATGTGTTTCTTTGTTGTAGTTGGTAAAGTAATGAGAGATCTGCATTTGTGTGCTTTGACGAGGGCATTTGTTGACTGAAGGCTTTGTGTGGCCGAAGGCATCATGTGGCCGAAGGCATTGTGTGGCCGGAGGCATCATGTGGCCGAAGGCATTGTGTGGCTGGAGGCATTCTGTAAGTCGAAAGCATCATGTCGAGGGGAGTAGATTGCCGTTGTGATCTTGCCTCAGCTTGCTGTAGCTGAGAAATAGAAAATTTTTAACATTTGCGTGTTTTGCCGAGGGGAGTCCCCCAGTCCCCCACTCCTTTTGCCGAGAGTTTCTCGAGGGAAACAGGAGTAGAGTGATGCATGCCTTCAGCAGGAGCCGCCGGGGGGTGACGCCTTTTGTTCCACAATGGGGAGATGCCTCGTTAAAAAACCTCATTAGGAAAAAACCCTGTGGGAAAAAAAAATCCTAATGAGGGAAAAAGAGTACACCGGATGCCCCCAGAATGAAGCAAAAGGAATGCACTCTTCGGCCTAGATTTTTGAGCGGTGGTTGTGTCCGTCTGCTGAGGGGATATCGAAGACCAGCCTTAGATCCTGCATGAAAAAGCTAAGGAGCTTGTAAGGACCCCCCCCCCCCCCCCCCCCCCCGTTATCAAATAAAGGTGACGGAGGGGTGCAAGGCCAGGTGGGCTTGTGTTAGAGCCCCTGGCATCAAATACAGATGCTAGAGGGATGGAGACCGAGGGGTCTTCATGATGGCCCCCGACATCAAATAAAGATGTCGGAGGGATGAAGGCCGAGGGGTCTGTATGATAGCTCCCGACATCAAATAAAGATGCCGGAGGGCTGAAGGCCGATGGCCTGTGTGATGGCCCTCGATATCAAATAAAGATGTCGGAGGGATGGAGGCCGATGGGCCTGTATGATAGCCTCTGGCATCAAATAAAGATGCCGAGGGATGAAGGCCGAGGGACCTGTGTGATTGCCCCCAACATCAAATAAAGATGCCGGGGGGATGAAGGCCGATGGGCCTGTATGATAGCCCCTGACATCAAATAAAGATGTCGGAGGGATGAAGGCTGAGGGACCTGTGTGATTGCCCCCGACATCAAATAAAAATGTCGGAGGGATGAAGGCCGATGGGCCTGTATGATAGCCCCCGACATCAAATAAAGATGTCGGAGGGATGAAGGCCGAGGGCCGTTGTGATGCGGAATCACGCTGAGGCCGAGGGCCGTTGGTGATGTGAGATCACGCTAAGGCCAAGACCGTTATGACATAGAGTCATGTTGAGGCCGAGGGCCGTCTGATGTTGAGGCCGAGGGCCATTGTGATGTCCTCACGCTGAGGCCGAGGGCCGTTGTTGATGTTGACTCATGTTGAGGCCGAGGGCCGTTGTGATGTGGAATCATGCTGAGGCCGAGGGCCGTTGGTGATGTTGAGGCCGAGGGTCGTCCTGATGTTGAGGCCGAGGGCCGTTGTTGATTTTGAGACCGAGGGCCGTTCTGATGTTGAGGCCGAGGGCCGTTTGTGATGTGGGATCACGCTGAGGCCGAGGGCCGTTGGTGATGTGAGATCACGCTAAGGCCAAAACCGTTATGACATAGAGTCATGTTGAGGCTGAGGGCCGTCTGATGTTGAGGCCGAGGGCCATTGTGATGTCCTCACGCTGAGGCCGAGGGCCGTTGTTGATGTTGAGGCCGAGGGCCGTTCTGATGCTGAGGTCGAGGGACGTTGTTGATGTTGAGGTCGAGGGACGTTGTTGATGTTGAGGCCGAGGGCCATTGTGATGTGGAATCATGCTGAGGCCGAGGGCCGTTGGTGATGTGAGATCACGCTAAGGCCAAAACCGTTATGACATAGAGTCATGTTGAGGCCGAGGGCCGTCTGAAGTTGAGGCCGAGGGCCATTGTGATGTCCTCACGCTGAGGCCGAGGGCCGTTGTTGATGTTGAGGCCGAGGGCCGTTCTGATGCTGAGGCCGAGGGCCGTTG